CCCCCCCGCCAAGCACAGAGCAAGTACACACAGCTCCTCTGACCTCACGAGTCTAATCCATACGGGTGAGCCAGCTACTATACTACTGACTGCTCAAGCTCCTTTCTCATGCACTTTTTCTGCTGTAGGAATACACACAGAAGCACAAAAGATTCCTTAAAATGGACTATAATTCATTGCCATGCAGGATAAATGTGAACGGCTTTAACAATCCAGAAGGAAAGAAAGGCTGGTTTTTGCTCTGCAGGTTGGAGAAACAGGCTGCAATAGGAAAGCAGATGGTAGAAGCCAGTATCAGCCACATCACCCTACAAAAAGAGTGCATGTTCAAATGCCAGAGCTTTCCTCTTTAGTTGATCCTGAATTGATTCTTAATGAATAAATATCTACCAGCCTCTCAATAAAAATACGCCTGTACAAATGCTCAGTCGGTAGTGAAGACGTATAAATCCCTGCAGAAGAAAAATCAGAGAGCTCTACAGGTTGTTATTGAAGGAATATGCTGTAATGATGACTATTCACCTTCTCCTAGCAACTCCACACAGTAGGTAACTGTCAATTTAACTGGTGGAAAATGCAGCAGCTGCAAGACAGCCCGCTCAGCAAATCCTTCGGGACAGCAGCATGCGTGTGTCAAAATCTGATGCTGAACTGAGTGTGTCTGCCAGCAAAAAACAATTAAGTGCACACAAACAGCAAAAGGGTTGAGTACTAAGCAGTACGCCAGTCGTGCAGCAGATTGCCAGCTCTGCCTTTCAAGTGCAAACCTAAGAACCTAGTTGTGCAGCCAAAGATGGGGTTTGGAGAGGGTAAAGGAGAGGATTTCCTTGCTGCTTGCTCAGCCGCAGGCTTGGGTTTGCAGAGCAGCTCCTGTACTCTTTAAATAGCACCCGTCTTGTGTGGTAAGTCAGTAACAATCTTCATTTCTGAAGCAGCAGCCAAAGAATCAAATATACCACAGACTTATCTCACTGATCATGTTTGTTTCAATCAGAGTAAGAGCTATGCAAGAAGCCAGGCAAGAGGGCTGTGCCAAGTAGGAGTAAATATGTCTGAACTTTGCCAGCTACGAGTGTCACTGCCAGCGGGGAAAAGGGGCTTCGGGTCCACGATGGACCAGTGAGGACGAGTGTCCTTGGATGCTGACTGGAAGAAGCGTAAGGGTAGGAGACGCATATCTCATTATAGCTTTAACTAGACAGCTTTATCTGTGTTAAATTTTACAAAGATGTGAGATGATGAGAGGTTCCCATCTGATGCAATTGGCAGAAATGGATAATATCGTTAAGTACTCAGGATCTTACAGAAAAATAAAAAAGAGGTTCACTCCTTTGAAATAATCCTAACACTTCAGAATTTCCAAATCAATTTTCTTTCTCTACGATATCTTTTATGCACATTATAGATTTAAAATATACTCTAGGAGAGTTATAAACCAGTTTGAGATGCACCTTTTACACACTGATTTCAGGTGGATAATTAAATAGTACGTTTCATTTTTATGGATTTAACACATACACAATTTTAAACTGGTATTAATTCACGGATTTTCACAGAATTTTTTCTGACTCAGACACATGAGAGTCAGTCCCATAAAATTCACTAGCAATATCTGAAAAAAAGTCACCGGACAAGCGACATCTCTTGCAATTTTCAAACAGCATCATATGACAACAGTGAAGAAATACAAATTGCTTTTTTTTTCAAAAACTGCAAAGCATTTATTTGGTTAAAGGCAGTAGTAGTGTCTTTGAAACTTCACTGACGAACCACTTAAAAACTTCCAAACTTTCCACTCTTGTTATGCATGGAGTCCAACTAAAGTTTGTAGGAAAGAGTATAAATATCCTTCCATGGAATAACTAATGAGAACCTCTCACACTAATCTGGGTTCTTCCCTGCCTTTTAACTGCCAGACATCTGAAGCAACGCAAAGAAATTAAGTATTTATAGAAACCACATAAACCTCCAGGGGCAGAGGGGAATTTTAAGGGCCTATTTTTTCTCATAAAGTATTCCTGCTCTTGTTGTCCGATTCTACAATGAAAAAATAGTGGCATTTGTAAGCTGTTCTCTCTCCCTCACGAGGAAATAAGTAGTTAAAAATATATTGCTTTGATTTACTGGAGAAAAGCATTATGAGCAGGTAATAACCTTCAGGAAGGGAGAAAGGAACAAACTGTCCAAATAATATCAATACAAATGGAGATGCACCTGCAAACTTCACCAGAACTCCACAAAGGAAAATTGTAAAAACTTTGCTCTCTGCAGGACCACACCACTGCAACAACAGAAATTCCTACAACGAAAGCACCTGGCATGGCTTAAACAAAGGACAAACAAAGCAGCCTCCTCCCCAAAGGTTTATCTTGAGGATCAATACAGCAAACCACCAGAGCTGACACTGAAGGATGAAACTGTGTCTCTGAAGATGACAGAAACAGCAGGAAATGGATAAAAACGGGTAGATAAGGCATTAGAAAAATGAAGGAGGTAGTCAGATCAAGTGTCCTGCACGTCCCTAAGGAGAGAGGGACAAACCATTTAAAACAAACAAACAAACAAACAACTTTAGGTACACTGTTATCTTGGAAACATGAACAATGAAATACTCATGGAGACATGGGGAAAGGAAGGACCTCTCCTCCCTTTAGCTTCTGTGAATAACTCTCAGAGAAAGAAGCAGCCAAGCCAGTGCCCTTCCTCCTGCTCAGAGGAAGGCAGGCACAGAGGCTGAGAACAACTGAACCACAGCAGTGCCGACACCCCTCCAGCTGCAAGAGGTGACATGGGGCAGAAAGGACAGCAGTGTGCTGGTGGAATATAGGACAACTATACATTATAGCCCGTGCGTAACAATGAGAGGATCAGGGGAGGGATTAGGGACAACCTGACTTGCTCAGAAATACACATCTGTGCCCCTGCAGTACAAACTGGTCTAAAGAAGATCCACAATACCAAACAATGAGCAGCTACTTTAGGAAGCCAAATCAACCAGAGAGATAGCACCTGAAAGGATAAGTTATCTTAAATAGTTTTTCTCTTTCTACTGTTCTTGTTCTGGTTTTCTGTTCTTGCCCTACCTAAGCTGGTGTTTGTGCTACAGTCCCAGCAAGCTGTTGATGCAGTCCGTCTTCCTCCTATAAAACCACAATCTTTTTTGCCCTTTGCCCACAGCTTTTTTCTTTTTAAAAAAAATTTCAGCTTAAAATTTCCATACTAAAGTGAACAGTAAAGGAAAGCCTCTATTAGTCAATATGGAGATATATTAAAATGGGAATAATTAACTTTTCCCCCCTTAATTATGGCAAAATAAAACTGTTCCAGTGCCACTTAATCCTCAGATAGGAAGCTACATTTAATGATAATGTATCCTAATCTCCTTTTCTTTCATCTAAAAATACTTCGCTTCAGTAGTAATATCAATGCAAAGAAATAATTTTGAAATACACCCAACAGTAAACAAATCAGGTTGGCTTTTCAATATTGAGTACTGAGAGACCTTTACAGTTACAATGAAAACAACTTACCTTAAAATTGGGAAAGTCCTGCAGCTAGACCAGTTTGAGATTAACTATAGAAACAGGGAAGGGATTGTGCAGGTTTTGATGAGGAGAATTAGAGCTTTATTTTAAACAAATCCTCTGCTCCTGAAGGGAAATTAAATATGCTGCTTTGTTTGTAATTATCTTCAAAACATCTAACTCATGACAAACGGAGAATAAGGAAGTATCAAGAGGCCTGCAGGGTGACTTGTCACACTAATACTCATCCCTCCAAACCTGACAACACAAACTTCCCTCCATTGGAACTGCAGGAGAGCCATGAACCAAGTAAGAAATTTGAAAACATAAGAAATTTGAAAACTTAAGAAAACAAAAAAAAAACCACCAACAAACCCTCAAAAAGATGATAAGTTTATCGTAAGTAGTGACAACAGGTGTTAGATCTGTTTGTTGACTGTCCTGCCCTTATCTAGCAAGCACTAATATACATTTAATTTTAAGCAGGTAAAGCACTGCACTTATTTGCTGGGTAAGACAGAGTTCAACACTATTGTAAATAACGGAGTTAAATCACTGAAGAACTGCCTGCCAGTGGACTTGAGTGTCACATGGTACTTTGTGAATGGAACAAGATGGAAGAAAGGTCCCATCACTCAAATGCTGCCCTTGCAGAAAAGGAATGGTTTGCTAAACAGTGCTCTCCCTGTCTCCTTCTGCACTCCCCATTGTCTATTACATTCACATTTGTGAAGTGATGTGCAATTGCCTTCTTCACAAGCAGTGTTTCCAGCTTGCTTGCAATGCCCAAATGTGTGAATTATTAATCAATAAGAAGAGCAGCAGAAGAAAAGGAATATTTGGTCTTATTAAAGTTCAGGGACTTTATTTAAATACATACATCTCCAGCAATCTGGTAATGGCAAAATATTGATGTTACAGTAATCTTGGATTTTCAGATTCTCCATAGAATATATTAATAAAATTAGTAGAGTTACATAATTGAGGAATAGCAACTTTAAAGATTTATACATATGGTCTACACAGTGCATTGGCATTGAGTCAATTAAGTAGGTAAAAGAGTTGGGATTGACATATTAACAGTTATTAGATGATCTAAATATGGAGACTTAACAAGGAACATTTTCCCTTTTTTTTTATTTTAGTATTTTCTGCTGCATTTCATTTACTGTATTTGAGGCTT